CCTTTGAAAAGTTAAATCCATTTCTAGGTATTTTTCTTACAAATAAGTCAGTACTCATTGCAGCATTACAAGAGCAATATACAAGCAACCTAATTGTTAATTTAAGAAAAGAATAGGCTACCAGAATTCCAAAGGCTCCCCTTGTGTAAATTGCTGCACTAACAAGCGACATTGTTATATACTTGTCTAGATATATTCTGCATGCCCTTTCCCCAGTAAATGTTATGAATATGTAAACTATTACGGGAGTTGGTTTCCTCAGAGTCCTTTCCATGAATACCAGTCCTGTTCGGGTGCCTCAGTTAAGCGTCTGCCTTCGGCTCAGGTCATGATCCAGGGGTCCTGGGATCGAACCCCGCATCCGGCTCCCTGCTCAGTGGGGAGCCTGCTTCTCCCTCTCACTCTTCCTGTCCATCCCCCTGCTTGTGCTCGCTCGCTCTCTGTCAAATAAAATAAAATCTTAAAAAAAAAATACCAGTACTTCTGTGCCTTTCTGAATCTCTGTGGGATAAAAACTCAGGAAATTGGATGCACTCTACTTTTGTGCCAAGTGTTTCCCTTACTAAACCCTATTTTACATTTACACTGCATGATACTAGTAGTATGTTTATGTCCCTTTTGCACAAGGTCACCAGAGTGGTTAGAATGTGATGCTTCCAAGTAACCCTACACACCTCTTAAAGAATATGCTACTAATGGAAAGGTATTCATGACATGAAATGGAAAAAGCAAGTCTAACAGTATATATAATATGACACCATGGGGGTGTGTGTGTACTTAGACTTGGGCAAGAGGGGTCCCTGCCCTGATCCTCACACTGGCTGTGCCTCTCTTCACGGAATGAAAAATTGAAGGAACCAAGGGATTGTTCTCACTTGGAAGTTTATGTTCCTCTACCCACTATGCACCAGATAGCCAGAGCCCCAGAATTCTCTGCCTGAACAGCCCAAAGCTTGATCCCAGAACAGATGCAGGCCTCTCGGATCATCCTGAGGACAGACCGTGCTACAGGTGTGTATACTTTACACTTAAGGAATGGCAGTTTGTGAATAGCGTGGATGGAGCTTGGAGGTGCAGACTGGGGTGTCTGCATGCATGCATACCAGAACTCTCGTGGTAAGCTAAAAATAGTAAAAGACTGACTCGGCCTTGTAGGAAGAGCAAGCAGACCTAGTTCCTGTGCTGCACTTTATATAGTATATAAGAATTCCAAATTCGATCCTAGATTTCTGTCTTTGAAAAGGAATATTTGCCAAGGTAGAAGGACATATTTATTTGATGGGTCTTTGCTTAGACACTTAAAAATGTCAGAGTTAGACTCCATTTATGCTCTTGCCCCAGGACCCACAATATTAGGGTGGGCTGGGATGTGTGTGTAATCCCACATCCGAGTAATTTTTAGAAGATGGATCTTTGGGGCGCCTGGGTGGCTCAGTTAAGTGTCCAACTCGATTTTGTCTCCAGGCATGATCTCAGGGTCATGGGATTGAGCCCCAAGTCAGGCTCTGCGTTCAGTGGGGGAGTCAGCTTGAGATTCTCTCCCTCTTCCCCTGCCCCTCCCCCTGCTCATGCACACTCTCTCTTTAAAATCTTTTTTTTTTTTAAAGATGTTTCTTTGCCTATAGTAGAGGCTGTTTTTACCCATTCTTGTACCCTTTGTCCAATTGGACCGGCTGACCAAGTTAAAGCATACTGACAGCTGGAGGCTTACATCTGGGCTCCCCTCTGGTATGCTGGAGAAGTACTGCTTCTACCAGTCGAGTTACATGTTTACTTCCTGTTAGCTGTTTGTTCCCAAACCTGTTTATGCTAGTGGCAGTCACTGTAATTATAGAATTTAAATATGACATAAACCAATGAAATAGTGTGAAAAATTATGAGAGTCAAGGGAAACTAAAGATAAAGAGCTAAAAAAAAGTCACTGACGAGATAGTTGTGTCCAAGATAACTGTAAATGATAAGGGAGGATTGCAGAAAAAAACAAAAACAAAACTAGGACTCTTTCATTCCTTCACTTGTTTCTGTAAATTCTTGGGCCACTTTAAAAAAGTAGAAATAGTAGGTGATGCATTATTATGTTTGTGGTTTTTATAGGAGAAACAGAGGCTCCAATCAGTTGATTTGTATTTTAAAAGATCTTGACTCAAGTCAAAGGATCAGCCAGTGTAATCCTCTGCTTTAATTGCCGTTTTTTTTTTTAGGTTTACATGGAACAAGATTTGTTATGCCTTTGAAAAGTATTCTAAGAACCTGATAATTTTCCCCTTATTTTTATTATGACAATTTTTTTGTTTCAGGCATTGCCTTTAATCTTTTTTAAAATTTTATTTTAGTATGTTATGTTAGTCCCTATACAGTACATCAGTAGTTTTTGATGTAGTGTTCCATGATTCATTGTTTTCATATAACACCCAGGGCTCCATGCAATAGACAATTTTCAAATATACAGAGAAGTAGATAGAGGCTATTGTTGATAATGAATACTTTATGCCCATCACAGGTTTATCAGTTATTAATATTTTGCCATGTTTGTATCATCTTTTTTAAAGTTTTTAAAAATTTCACCTATAAGCATTGCAATATGCATCAATGATGACTTACTCTTTTATTTTAAACACAGCCACATTCCATTAGCATTCTTAGCAAAATTACAGTGCTTCCTTAATATCATCTAATGGCTCAGTCCATATTAAAATTTTGTCTCAATTTTTTTTAAAGATTTTTAAATTTTTATTTATTAGAGAGACAGCGAGAGAGGGAACACAAGCAGGGGGAGAGGGAGAGGCAGGCTTCCCGCGGAGCAGGGAGCCTGATGCAGGGCTCGATCCCAGGACCCTGGGATCATGACCTGAGCCAAAGGCAGACACTTAATGACTGAGCCATCCAGGCGCCCTGTCAAAAAAAAAAATTTTTTTTAAGAGAGCATGTGTGAGAGTGAACTTGTGGGGGAGGGGCAGAGGGAGAGAGAGAATCTCAAGCAGACTCCACACTGGGCATGGAGCCTGATGAGGGGCTCAATCCCACGACCCTGAGATCATGACCTGAGCCTAAATCAAGAGTCACTCAATCAACTGAGCCACCCGGCACCCCTCAAAATGTCTTTTTTTATGGTTGCTTTCTTCAAATCAGGATCCAGACAAGGTCTACACACTGCCTTTGGTTATAGGTCTCTTTAAGTCTCTGATTTTGTAGTACTTCCCTCCCTCCCTCCTCTTTCAATTCCATTGATAGGGAGCCTGGGTGGCTCAGTTCGTTGGGCAACTGCCTTAGGCTCAGGTCATGATCCTGGAGTCCCAGGATGGAGTCCCGCATCAGGCTCCCTGCTCAGCGGGGAGTCTGCTGCTCCCTCTGACTCCCCCCTCTCATACTCTATCTCATTCTCTCTCTCAAATAAATAAATAAAATCTTTAAAAAAATAAAAAATAAATTCCATTGATAAAGAGAGGAGCATTTATCTTGTAGAATATTGCACATTCTGAATTTAGCTGATTGCTTCCCTATATCTGGGTTCAATTTTTAGGCAAGAATCCTTCACGGGTGGGTGGTGTGTACTTTCTGTTGCATCACCTCATGAAATACACAATGTCTGGTTGTCCCAGACTCAATCATAAGATCGATAAGTGGGGTAGTTCAGGTGGTGCCAGTCTAATCCACCTATAATAAGTTCCCCATAAAAAAATCACAATTTTTTTAAAAGTTTCCCATCAACATTTCACCTTAATTTTACCATCTATTGAATGTTGTACCTTGTATTATTTCACCAGGAGTAGCAAAATGATGATTGTTCTGTAATTCATTTATTAGCTAGAATTCTCATTAGCCTGTTGGCTACACTGAAATGCAGTTCATGCAAGAAAGGATAAATGCTTGATGTCTTTCCCTTCATCAAGTTTTACAATAGTGACCTGATGCCCTGGTAACCTTCAATCATGACTAGTGTGTTTCATTTTTAATGAATTATTATGAAGTCAAGAATTTTTATGTATTTGTAGTGTTTCAATCCGGAAGTTATTCATTTTGATGCTCAAATTTTCCCATCTTAGGTGTGTCAAATTAGCACTTGTGTCCAGTGATCCGTTTAATCTTTGATAACTTCCTTCCTTTGGGTGTTACCTTTTTTGATTAATCTATCAACTACTAGTTCTAAGTCTATACAACTAGTTCTAAGAGGACTTCTACAAAATAAGCTTTACGTACACAGAAAATTTCTAGAAGGAAAAATAAACGTAACGGGAAATGAGAAATTAAAACTTTTCATTATATACTGTTCCAAAAAAACAAAGTTTAGAGTATTTTTAGTTTTTACTATAGACTAATAATAATTTTTGTAGTAACAACTTAAAATTACAGTATTTAGTGCTTTATCGTTTTCAAAATTCACGTCAAAATTGATACATATCTGACCCTTAACAATCCTTTGGATTACACTGCGAATTAAAAAAGCCAGGGCCGGAACTGTATGCGTGTCTATTTACAGACGTAAACCGGAGTGTAACAGTCCTCTGGAGCTTGGAGGTCATGCACCTCAACCTCATGAGCTAAACGCAGCTGCTATTTCGCACTACATCCCCCCTCCCCCCATCTCATCTGGTGGTACCCTAAACAGAATTCAGGGAGTTATTCTGAATCTGCGTAGCACACGCACTAAAAAACTATTCGTTGTTTATCTGAAATTCACATTTTTAACTGGCATCCTATATTTTATCTGGCAAATTCACTCTTTAAGAAACACAGCTCAGCTGGTGCCTCTCCAATTCTTGCCCCACTTCCTAAAATCTCATGTCGCCTCACTGCAGTTGTTACGTAGGCAAGCGATGAACGGGCTTTGGAAAGCTAGGAAATCCTTAGGGATCAGTAAACTTTGGACGGTGAAAAAGTAGCAGGAGCCCTAGACACGCAGAGATCGGAGTCAGTTCAACGCGATCATCTCCGACAGCAACCGCAATAGCCACGCTTCTGTACTTGACGGCACCTTTTGCAGCAGTTGCTGTGAATGCCGTAAAGCGGAGTTGCCGCCCCTGTTGGGTGAGGTAAGGTGTAGATAACGCCTCTTGGTCGCGGGGGATGGGAGGGTGTTTCAGACAGGTATCCTCGGTGGCTCGGGTGCCCTCACCGGGCATCCCCCAGAATTCTGGGCACCCACTTCCCCCAGCCTCCCAGCGGCCGAGGGGACCACAGGCTGAGCGCGCTCCGAGCGGGGCGGGGGCACTCTGAGTCATTTACCACTGGGGCAGTCCTTCCCACGCTCCTGGGCGTGTCAGCAAGTAAAATCCGCATCCTGGGACAGGCTCAGTTTTGGAGGGCGATCCAGACCCTCGTAGGACTTTGCCTGACGTCTGAGCAGGGCTGTGAGAGCCATCTCAGGATTTGCGAGAGGACAGGCACTGGGGGGTGGGGGGTGGAGAGCACTGCAGGTTGTGGGACCAATGTGTGCAAGGGTGCAGAAGCATGAAAGGAACGACTGGGTTTGGGCAGCACCGTGTGCATATTAGGGTAATGGCTGGAGGAATGGGTGCAGAGAAGGGAACGCTAGGAATGTGGTGGCAGCTAACTTTGGGTCTCAACCGGGAGAACCTTGATGCTCTATGAGTGTGGAGTTCTTCCACGGGCACTGGGGAACTACAACAGTTTTACAGAGAGGGATAATTTAATTAACCATCTCTCATTTTGATGCTTTCCCCGTGGGTTCAACTTTTAGTTCATTTGGAGGAATATTTACTGAAACAACCCCTTTTTGTGCTTCGTAATGAATGGACGCTGCTAGTCATGCTAAAGTTTCATATGGCTTTGATGTTTGCCTTTTGTTTGCACTGTCAGTTGGGGGGATGTCTGGAAAGACTGGATCTGTGTAGAGGTGGTTGTCACAGGCTTTGAATAGGAGTGAGGAGAACTGAGTTCAGAATTCATCACCATCAGTTTCTCAGGTAACATGAGGCAAGTCACTTCTCTCAGGGCCCTGGTTTTCTCAGATGTAAAAAGAGGACCTACATGATGTCAGGTTCTTTCTACTTTTGAAGATAGCAGGTTTCCAAAGAATAAAGGTCAAGTTATGAACAGATATCAAAATGATCAATGGAGCAGTGCATTAGGGATTGGGAGAAGAAGGAGGCCTAGTAGAAAAGACTGGGATGCTCTGGGGTTGGGTAGGGTTTGAATCATCAGGAACCATCTCTGTTGAGCACCTTGGGTAAAGATAGAAAAGGCAAGGAAGAGGCATTCATATTTTATCTATCTGTCTGTCTATCTATCTATCAACTAACTAACTAACTTTAGGGGAGGGAAACAGAGAATCTGAAGCAGACTCTTTGCTGAGGTGGAGCCCGTGGAGGGGCTTAGGGCTTGATCTCATGAGCTGAGATCATGACTTGAACCCAAACCAGGAGTCGGGACATTTAACTGAGAGACCCAGGCGCCTGAGGCATTCATATTTTAGTCTGTTTCTGGCTAGGTGTCAAGGGCATAGAGGACTTGGGAAGGATGGCACTGGATATCAAAGGAACCCCAAGTGGAAAGAAAGTGCATTATGTCTGAAAAGGAAGAAAAAGGAATAAGAGACATGTCAGCAATATATAGGACTTGATTTCTTGGGTCTAGGTGATTGATATTTAGAACCTGGGTTTTGAAAAAGTGAATTTAAGTGCCGTTGACAAAAGTGAGCATTTTATCAGAATTCTAGCATGCAATAATGTATTGGCAGTAAGGTGATTCAGGTTGTAGCTCTGGATGTTGTGAATAATTAGCTTCTTGGGCTATCATTTAATTCTTCTAGAACCTATTCTCTGTAAAATGATGTTGTTGGACAAGGTGGTCTCTCTCCTCTAAAGCCTGTAAAACTTGAGTCTAAGAATGGAGAACAACTTTCTGAAATGGGGGAGGGAGATGGTTGATGGACAATGAAATGGTTAATTTTGAACATACTGAGTTTGAGGTGCAGGAAATAGAGTTGGAAATATAGGCAGATGGAGTTCATAGACTGGAACTTAAATAGTGAGTTTTCTCTCAGAGGTGGTAGTTAAATATCTTGAAATAAGTTTGCTTTGAGGGATAGATTCTAGAGTAACTAGAGGATGCACCCATTGATGGGAGGCTAGAAAAATGACTGAAGGAGACACGTGGCTCTCAGAGCAATGAGCAATGAGCAATGACTCGTTTTAAAAAAGATTATGTGTAGCCATAGTAGGTTGTTGAGGCCAGCATTGTTATTAAAATAATTTAACAGCATTTGCAGCAAATATTAAGCACCCATTTCTAGGAACACTGGCAGAAAATAAATAAATATAATCTCCATTGTCTTTCTAATTGTCTACTCAGAAGTAATATCATTTACATATTTATTTATTCAACAAATATTTATGTGTTTCAGGCACTGCTGGGTGCTAAGGATATACTGACGAAAAAGGCGGCTGTTGTTCCTATTATTCCTGCATGTAAGGGCCTTAGCTTCTAGGTCAGTGCTTTTCAAATTTTAACATACATAGGAATCACCTGAGGATCTTGTTAAAATGTAGATTCTAAATCAGTAAGTCTGTAGTAGGGTCTCTATGTTTGTATTTTTCACAAACTCCCAACATGATGCTGATGTTGCTGGTCTGAGGACCATGCTTTTCAGTTGTGAAGACCTAAATCCTGTCTGGCAAATGCGGCAGTTATTAAACCACTGCTACTACTCACCATCTGTTTTTATTAATAATTTCATTGCCTTTATGAAAATAATGTATGATCATTATAACAATATTGGGACAGTATAGAAAAGCATAAAGAATGATGTAAAAAGGGGCGCCTGGGTGGCTCAGTTGTTAAGCGTCTGCCTTCGGCTCAGGTCATGATCCCAGGGTCCTGGGATTGAGCCCCACATTGGGCTCTTTGCTTGGCGGGAAGCCTGCTTCTTCCTCTCCTACTCCCCCTGCTTGTGTTCCCTCTCTCGCTGTGTCTCTGTCTGCCAAATAAATTAAAAAAAAAAAAAATGATGTAAAAAATCACCCATTTCCCCCACCTAGACGTTATTGGTATTTTGGTGAATATCCATCCAGATTTTATATGTGTGCATATGTTCACACTTTATATATTATCTTAAGTACTTGATACATTCTGAGCCCTGTGTTTGATTCTATTAGCTATATAATTTTACTAAGCCCAGTACCCACACGTGAACCAAGCAATTAAGTACTTGCATTCTTGAAGGGAAGACTCAGTTAAAAATAACTTGGTTTAACACCATTCTGTTACTCAAAAAATGGGAAGTTATTAACATAATTAAAGCTTATAAAGTGTAAGCAGTAGTAAATGAGTACTTGTTAATTGACCCAGAATGAAAGAAGATTTTTAAATATTTGAAAATCAATTGATGTTCACATAGAATAAACAAAAAAAATACCTTCACCCAACCCAAAGACCAAACAACTGTCCTTAACTCTGGAGTGTATGCTAACTAAAGTAGTTTTTAAATGACCCCAAGGAATAGCTTATGTAAATAATGGTTGGGTCAAAAGAAATCCTCGGTTCTTCAAGTTTCTGCTGCCTTTGAAATAACCATAATCTTTTGTTTATACCCTATAGTCTTGTGACAAGGAACTGCTAGCAGCTTGCCCAGTGTCTAGTACATACGGCTTAGCAATATTTGTGAAGTTAATGGAAGAATGAATGGATGAGGTAGCAAACCAAACTGACCTGTGTGACATAAACTCTGGCTGTCACTCTTCACCCACACCTGCTTGCATTCATCACTCATCTCAGATTCTTTTGTACTCTTCTGGCCACATAGAACTCTTCTCTTCTGTAAAAAGTTGCTTTTTAAATCTATGTTTGTGCTTAAATTCTACTGTGGAAGAATTTGAAATGCAGAATACCACAGGATAAAAAAAACATGAATGATAGCCTCCTGTCTCAAGGTCCTGTAATTTAAGACTGACTGCAAAAATAGTATAGGGCGCCTGGGTGGCTCGGTTGTTAAGCATCTGCCTTCAGCTCAGGTCATGATCCCAGGGTCCTGGGATCGAGCCCCGCATCAGGCTCCCTGCTCCGCGGGAAGCCTGCCTCTCCCTCTCCTGCTCCCCCTGCTTCTGTTCCCTCTCTCGCTGTGTCTCTCTCTGTCAAATAAATAAATAAATAAATAAAATCTTAAAAAAAATAGTACAGATATACAGTGGTGTGGGAATATAAGAGAAGGGGACTTTAATTGAGAGCAGAGGGAATTATTAGTAGACCTTTAAGATGACTGTTACTAATTATTGCTAGCATTACTGTACACTCTGACGTTCTAGGTGCTCTTCAGTGCTTTACATGATTTAATTTGTTCAATCCTCTGAACAGCCTTTTGAGTCAAGTACAATTTATAGATCCACTCTAAAGATGGGGGCAACAAAGACATTAAGTAACCTGCCCAAAGTCCTACGGGTTGCAAGTGGCAGAGCAGGATTTGAAGACAGCAGTCTGTCTTTGGAGCCTTTACTGAGTAGGCAGTGAGAGAGGCAGGGAAGTAGGGGGAGAAAGCATTATAGATAGAAGAAATAGCATAGGCAAAGGCACCCAGGTGAGATGGTACTGTATCAGCGGATTCATATAAAAGAATAGTACAAAATCAGCCATAGAAGGTCTTAAAGTAGAGGAAGTGACACAAAGAGGTACGTTAGAAATAATTTGACTTTGATCCCTAAGATGGGTATTTTGAGGAAAGCCTGGTAGTAGGATATTCATGCAGGAGGCTTTCTATCTAGACAGAGGTAATAAGGCCTTTAAATGAGGTTAACTATACGCAAATGGAAAAGAAATGACAGCTTTTAGAGACACTGAGAAGGATACACAGTTTGTTGACTCATTAGATATAGAGTTAGAACCACAAAAACTATTTTGTTTTGAACATAAGTAATTGAGAATATAGGGATACTATTAACAGAATAGATGGTCAAGTCATGAAAGAAATCTGGTATGAAGGCGGACAGTGATTCATTTTAGGTGTTAGTGGAATGTTCAAGAAGACATATCCAGCAGTCAGCTGGAATATTTATAAGTCGTAATTAACCAGTAGATTATG